AAACCCTTGAACAATTTTCTAATGGCCATTTGAAATTTCACAAACAGTGCAAGCATGGGCACCAGAGAAAAGTTACAGACGACGTTATCAACCAAGTGAGGGACCATATCAAGTCATTCCAACCCGTAGACTCACATTGCTGTCGAGCTGGCACTGAAAAGAAGCATCTAGACTCATCTTTATCAGTAGCTCCCATGTATCATCTTTATTTAGAGACGTGTGAGAGTAATGGATGGGTGAAGACTTCCAAGGACAAGTACAGGCGAATTTTTGATAACGAATTTAACTTGGTGTTTCACCGGCCAAAGAAAGACCAATGTGAAACCTGCATTGCCTTAAGGAACCAACCAAGTCCAAGTGAGGAGGAAAAGACTCTGTACAATGTACACATACAGAATAAGATAGCAGCCAGGCTGATAAAAGACGAAGCAAAAGCTGCCTCGAAAGGCTGCACTTTTGATTTACGACAAATTCTCCTCTGTCCTCATTGACAAAGTTCAAGTAATTTTTACAAAAGAAGACTTGGGGTGTACAACTTCACCATCTACGACTACACGAAGGGAGATGCCCATTGTTATATTATCATGTGGCCTGAGCAAGAAGGGAACAGCGGCTCGAACGAAGTGTCCACTTCTCTCTTTCACTACATTGAAGAACAACACAGAAAGAATGTAAAAGCCAATCACATGTTTTCCGATAACTGTGCCGGCCAAAACAGGAACAGCTTTGTTGCTTTTGCCCTGATTTTTGCAAGAAATCGCTTCAGCCTCGAAAGCTTCATACTAGTGATGGGCAGGTATCGATACCAGGTACTCGATACTTAGATACCTATAGGTATCGGTATCGGTAGCGATACCTGCTCTAAACATCGATACCTATGTGTTATTTATCCCAGGGCTGCCAAAGCAAGTGACTTGGGCCTTGAGAATTTTTTGTTTATCAAAACTAATACGTTTTCGTAGGGGGCAAGCGTTTTAAATTAATCTAGGGATTTTTTAACAAAAAGAGAGAAGTTTTTCATGAAATGTATCTAGTGATTTTGCAAAATCTTCACTGGCAACCCTGATTTATCCTCATTGGTTTAATTTAAAGTTGCTAAAAATCTGGTAAATTGAATTGCCTTTTTAGAACTCTTGTGTTTTTATTTTCCAATACTAACATTTTCTGCAAAGTTGACTTTCCTCCCATACTTCACTTAATTTTTGTTTTTATTCTCATATTTGGGTATTCATTTCTCTCTCTCTCTCTCTCTCTCTCTCTCTCTCTCTCTCTCTCTCTCTCTCTCTCTCTCTCTCTCTCTCTCTCTCTTTTACAAATAATTTTTGTTTGAGTCTCAGCTAAATTGTCACAACTTGTCTAGACACGATTACCTAAATACTTGGAAAAGTATAGTTGTATTTTTGTCTTTACTTATTACTCCCGGCGTATGTTACCAATAGCATTAGGTATCGAGGTATCGGTATCGATACCTTAAAAAGTACTAGGTATCGACATCGATACCTAAATTGTGGTATCGGCCCATCACTACTTCACACACACATTCCTCGAAAAAGGCCACATTGAAACAGAAAATGATTCGGTTCATGCCACGATCGAAAGAAAAACCAGGTACACTGAGCTGTATACACCTGAACAGTGGTATGCTGCCTTTCGATCCGCCAGAACCTCAAAACAGCCATACATCGTAAAGGAACTGATTGCTGGGGACTTTATAGACTTTACGTCTATGACAGGAACAGTAAGGAACCCTACTACTGACGACGAAGGGGACAAAATCATGCTGAGGAAGATTCGACAAGTCACAACTCTGGCTACTGATCCAAACTCCCTCCACTTAAAAAACAAGCTTCAATGGACCTTATCAACGTCTTGATTTGAACAGACGGAAGAGGAGGAGAAGCGGAGATGACACTGATGCAAACGAGGTGCAGATGATCAAAGGAATTTTGAGGCCTGGTATTGTACTCGCCAAGAAGAAAGATCTCACGAGTCTGTGCAACACTGGACAGATAGGGCAGAACTACAAAGAGTTCTCTAACTCACTCCCTGTTGTTGGACCTGTTCAGGAGGATCCTGCCGGATTCTAGACCAGTTTCAAGTTTGGTTATTCATTGATTTGTTGTTTTCGTTACTCATCCCGTCTTACATGTTCAGGAGAATTATGGTCATAACTTGGAAAATGTTTAATGCTTCAACTGAATTATTTTAGAAGCATTCAATTAATGATATTGTGTTTCAAAATACGATTCCTCTTTTTTCTTTATTTATCGCCTTGGATTCTTTTATTGCTCATTAATTGAAATCACGAATTTAATATTATCAGTCTTCTAAAGCTCAGAATATGCAAGCCAGATAGATACAGAATACGTGTGAGAGAAATAAAGAGCTTTCGTGAAAAGGATCACGTCATTCATAAGTCTCTATGGTTATTCTTGCTACTTACTTGTTTCTTCAAGCAAATTCTAAAAAAATTACAAGGATCACTTGGAAAGCGTTCGATACCTCGATATGGTACATGTAGGCCTAGACTCTATTCGTATTATTATGTTTTAAGATCATGATCCTTTATTTTACGATGTTTGTCACATGTGAGTGTTTTTTTGTTTTTACAGTTTGAAATTAGATTTTTTTAAAATTCTTCCAAAGATCAACACAGAAGAGCTATAGAGAACGTGTGCGTGATAGAGAAGTAGGAAGCTTTAGTGAAAAGTAACTTACTCAAAATTCATTTTGATTTAATACTTTGATTTAGAACAATTCTATATGCACAATGTACATGCCCTTCATCATGATCCATAATCCATGGTTTGTGGATGAGTATGTACTGAAAAACTTACTCCATTAAACATTGCCACTTCAAATTTATTAAACGTGTTTGTTTGTTTTTGTGTTCTCTCTCTCTCTCTCTCTCTCTCTCTCTCTCTCTCTCTCTCTCTCTCTCTCTCTCTCTCTCTCTCTCTCCCATTCCAAATTTATTAAACGTGTTAGTTTGTTTTTATGTTCTCTCGCTCTCGATCTCGCTCTCGCTCTATCTCTTTCTCTCTCTCTCTCTCTCTTTATCAGTCTCTCCAACTCCCTCTCTCTCCCCCACCTCCTCCCCTCTTTCTCTCCCTCCCTCTCTCTCTCTCTCTCTCTGTCTCTCTCTCTCTGTCTCTCTCTCTCTCTCTGTCTGTCTGTCTCTCTCTCTCTCTCTCTCTCTCTCTCTCTCTCTCTGCGCGTTCCCTCTTGTCTTGACGATGATGCGGGCACATCCCAATGGACACTGTTAGAGATGGCAGCCCAGCTGTCTGAGGGGTTAGGCCTATGTCACAACTTGGCCTACAGTCTCTATGAAACCCCAGGAAATGACCTTACTTCTTAACATGTTGATGATGCAGACATCTCAGCCAGTAGATTGATCTATTTCTTATTGATTTTGCTCAACTGTGACTCATTTTTTCACTTGATCGTGTCAAATCAGTTTATTTGAGTCCTGGTTTGATTTGTATCAGTTGTGCAATGACAAGGATACAGACGTTGTAGACTAAATCTCACTTGGTTAAATTATAGGTATATAATTGTA